AACACAGATCAGTTTAGAAGGGTTGGTTTTGTTGCTGTTGTTGATTTTTTTTTTAATGCTAGCATCTAAAGGAAAAAACAAAAAACCTTTTTAAACAAAATCATGAGTACATTGACTTTTACCTTCTCCCCCCTTATACAGTGTCAATTTGTCAGAGGCTGATCACTAAAAGATTCAGCAAGCAGAGTCAGAAGCTGGGCTTCACTCAAAATGGAATAAGAACAAAAAGTAAAGAGGCTGCTTTGCCTCATGAATATCTATTTGCCAATTCTTACCACGAGTGTCAGAGTCTTATTGCACCATTTCTGCTTACCACCAGTAAGGAATACATTCAAACTCAAAACACCACTAGGCACAGCTGAGAAAAAACACTATTAACAAAATTCATGGTCATTTAAGAGGTCTGTTTATTGGCTGCAGGGTCCAACGCTTTCTTCACTGCTGCCATATGCAAAGTCAACTCCATTTGTGGTGCACAAAGGTTCTCCTTGCTCTTTGTTCAAAGGGCTCAGTACAGTGCCAGTATGATTTTCAACCCATCACCTTTTAATCAACACGGATGATCAATGAGGCAAAAAAACCCCAAACCATGCAACATGTGTTAGTCTGATAAAATTAGGCTGAGAATATTTATATATTTACACAGAGAACGTTCAACATTGTAACCTGCTGGCAGCCTTGAATTATCTTGACCAAGCATCCAAACAGCTACATTCTGGTGTAAAATACTGTTTCGTTTAAGGTTTGGTGTAAAAGCTACTTATTTTACAATGCCTCTAACTGGATTCTACTGCACCTATTTTTGACACAGAATTTCTACGCACCAAAGCCACACACTTTTAGTCATACCTCACAAAAAAAGATAAGGCATTCGCAGGTACCTGACTGCTGTGATCACATGAAATCCATTTTCCAGAGCTTTCAGCCACAACCTTTGGAGACAATGAGAGTCTTTCAAACACAAAGGGCGAGTCCGTAGGAGACAGCCAGTTCTTCCAAGAACTATATACTTGTAATTTCTTGATGCTACTGCATGCAACACAGATAGAATTTAAGACTACTTTATTCACTTCCTAAATAAAAATTTGTTCTTAAACCCCACTGGATAACACCAGGGCTTAGGCACTTCTGATTGTATCTGTCTTTAATAAGGGGAAGCTTTAGACTACAAAATACAGGACAAGCATTCATCTGGAAAGGGAAAAATTAATGACTGCCAAGAAGCAGGTCAACAGTTGAGAAGCGTAGAGTATTTATGTGGACTCCACATCCCGAGTGGAAGAAATCTGTCTGCAGAGCCAAGAAGTTCACTGCTTAAATTAAAATTTGGTGTAAGAATATACTTCAGGAAAGCCATTTTACTGTGAAAAGTCACCTGTGCAAACAATTCTCTTTTCTGGAAAGCACACCATGCCCAGAACTGGAAAAGTGAGTAACAGCAATCCAGAGCCCAACATGCTCAAGCCTTGTAAGCAATGAAGACCAGGAGAATAAAAAGAGAAGGAACATCAACCCACACAAACTGGATTAACCAAGACAGCTGAAAGATTTGCGGCATTTCTGAAAATGGTTTCTTCTTTTACAAGGAGACTTAGAACCCACCCTGTGCTGGCTGGCAATAAGAGAACATGATTTCACACACGCAGTGGTCTCTAAGGCAGAGTAATAATCTGTTAATACAAAATAATTGATTTAATAGCTTTCTTTAAAAAAAACAACAGCTTTTTACTTGTTAAATTGATAGCAGTGAAAAACCTGTTAAGGGTGAAAAGATTTACATCCTTGCATTTGATGTCTATCAATATACATCATCTATGGATAGTTTAAGTGGTAAGCCTCGATCTCCAGAGGGAGCGAACGGGCAGAAGAATGGAATAAATTAACTGAGTAATGAGGTATTGGTGGGATTCTGTAAATAAAGCTCTTCTGCAAAGCTTTCCAAATTTGTTAAACATTCTGCTTTCTCAAGCGTCAACATAACTAATGAAAACTACTGTGCTCCAACAGTTAAGCCATTGACAGCCATACAGCCGTTACAGCATGCAGAACATGCCAGTTCATTCCTCAGCAGTTGCTTAAGTGGCCAACAGAGGCTCAAAAATGGTTTACTGCTTAGGAGCTACAGAATTAAAAACGCCTCTAAATTAAAAGGGTGAGAGGTACCTATTAACATTTCCTATTCTTTTTTTGGTACAGTGCAATAGCATGCTAAGGGCCCACTTGTGCCATCTTGGCCCAAGCAGAACTCTGATGATCTTCCCTGTCAATCTGTCTATACAAGGACAATAAATTACGGTTTTAAGGGTTTGCTTAAAAGCAAAGCAAAACGTAGAACTTGTTTTCCCCACTTGATAAGAGAAAGTGGGAACCAGGGGCTATACATAAGAAGTCCAAGTCAGTTGGTTAGAGAAGGAATAACTGAGACTCTGGCACATCTACATGTTTCCAATAAAGCACTACAGACATTCAGTAGACTTTTTGACCTCTGTTTTTTATGGATGTCCATCTGGGCATACTTGTAGCCCTTTTCTGCTAGAAAAGGTGAGTCTTCAATGTACCTACAGCATATCCACTAGCAGGATACAATAAATCAATTGACTTTTTTTAGGATATTTACATTGCAGCCCTTCAAAAACTAGACATCAGAATCCACCCACATACATGTAACAAAGCAGAGGATACCTTCTGCATAAAATAGATGTGGGATCTGAACTGTACTTTCTGTAACGTTGCCTTTATAGTAATGTACTAGTTTAGAATCATTCTTCATTTGCTCTGAAATCTTACAAGGCAAGATTTGCTCAGTCTTTCAGATCACGTGAAGTTAAGCTACCTACACGTAATACTCAATACCAAGAAAGTATTACAAATTACTGTCAAATGAGCAGTATTTAGGCACCTACCATTCAGGTTCCAATCTGGATATATTTCCTTTTCACATGTGTTATTCCTCTTGCTGTTTGACTGGAAGGTATCAATTGTCACTAGTAGTACAAACATTAACCCTCTCTCCCTTCCCTCCCCTATGAATATGTAAAGGAAAACCAAGCACTGATTTGTCCAGCCCAGCAGTATGAAAGTGCAGAATAAGGAGCATCTTGAGAGGCTTCAGAGAAGGTCCAGTCTTCTAGATGAAGAGCGGGTTAATTCTCAGCATGGGCATAGGGACAATACTTGTACTGACTGCCATTAGGCACATGACCTAGGGTAAGCACCTAGGCTGCCTAGCAAGTTCCTTGAGAGGGCACTTCAGCTGCTGATTTAGGACTCCACCTCTCCCCCCAGCTCCAGCAGCAAGCCCAGGCACCCAAGTTACATGCCTCAGGTTAGACTGTGTGAATACCCTCACACACACAGGCACAACTGCACACTCCCACGAAGCAAAGTTCAAAGGCTGCAACATGATGAACTTTTTGAAAAAAACAAACTTTTTTCCAATGCTGTTGCAACACACTTGAAGCAAACTAAACTGGTCAGCCATCCCTGTCATGCACTCATGCTGCCGGTGTTAGAAATGCCATCACTCTGCACTAAAGTGACTGTCTCCAGGCCTAGCCTCAAATCAAAAAAGACCTCCTTACCATGCTGGACTCACCATGTTGGGCTGAATGATAAAGTTAGTCTACCTTTATGCTGAAGTGGAGCTATTCCCTTGGAACCTATCCTGAGGAAAAAGAGCAGAAAGTCCTATCTGAGAGGTTAAGTGATCAGATGCTATTGAGAGAATAACAACAAAGCACTTTGGGAAAGGCTGGGTATGAGGGAGACAAAGGTCCAGGCTCAGAGCACAAGCCATTTTGTAACTGTTGCAACTGTGTTAAGTTTAGGTGCTCAGAGACTGAAAAGTGACAAAAATGGCATCTTTGCTCTCCCTCTGTGCGGGTATTGGAGTCTCGCGTGCTCCAAGCGACATGCTACCCCATCCTCTGCTGTACCAGTTATGCAACTGTAAATAAACTGAAGTACTGAATGACTCCCATACCAAAACAGAGAACCAGACTGCAGTAGTCTCAGTATTCAATCATTTAGCTTTCAAATGTCAAGGACAGCAGAGAGAAAGCTGCTATTTTGAGAAAGCTGCATTTTACCTGTAAACATAAGGCTTTTTCCTGAGAGCTCCTGAGACGCAATTTTCAGATCTTCCACTATGCTATTTTTAGTCATTTTTCAGAGCAGAATTACATTTTAACCTTTTATCTTTCAAGAGAAGTCTTGATGCTTCAGCACGTAACAGTACAGCGAAACACCACCAGGAGATGAAGAATCCGAAGAATCCGGACAAGCTGCCCAAACATTAATCAGCTCTCATGCCCTCCCTGGCTACAAACTCTATGGCAGAGATGACTCCATGTGCTCTGAAGTCCATTGCATGCAGGAGGATGTCGGTTATTGGGAAGGTTTTTAGATTTTGGAGTCCAATTACGGCCTCCTATTTTCCCACTTTATACTCAAACTTGTATCGACTCGGCTAACAGAGAGAGATAAGCAGCATTAGTATTGGATATGAACCTCAGCTTTACCATAGCAGCACATTTTAGCCTTCTTTTCACCAGCTCATTTTCTCAGCCAGTTCTTGAGGATGAAAATGTTGCTGTTCTTTGGTAAATACGGCAATCTGTCAGCAGAGTTCACCTGTCCTAACACTGACACATGAACAAATGGGAACATTTTCAGCCTCTTTTAAGCTCTGAGCTGACCTGCTGCACATACCAAAATAGTGATGTATCTTTGTAGCATCTTCTTCCTTTTCCTCCCTGGGTAGGAAGTTATTGTCTCATACCTACATTCCCTACGTGCACACACACACACACACGCTCACACACACATTAAACCAAATGGACAAGGAGAGTGTATGGGCAAGAGTCTACGGAATGATGTTCATTAGTACATCATTATGAAATTCTCAGGTTGTTTCTGTCAAAGAATATAAAGTTTAACACATTCTGTACATATTGTTGGTTTCTTAGTTATAAAGTAAACACAGTAACAAACTGTCCGTAAAGCGTTGACTCGTTTTAAACACAGCCCCTTCTCGTTTTATCTTGCTGAAAGTCCTCTTCCAGTCAGAAACACTGAAGCGATGTACTGCAAGTGTGCATACGGTGTATGACAGCAGAGGAAGGAAGAAAGAGGCACTTTTGATCGGCTGGTATTCTTGGACTTCCCTTTTTCCTGCGGAGGTTATGTTCCTGACACTAGATGGTAGTGTTAGCACAGAAAACCGCTGTGGTGAGGCACTTGGCGACAAGGCTCCAAGGCAGTGCCCGCTCTCTGCTATGTCATCAGAATTGGTTTCTGCCGCACTTCCAGGATATCTGGGCAAGGAAGAGAAACAGATACGGCAAACTTAGGAGGCTCCTGAAAGTAGCCACAGTACCAGAAAGCACGAAGCACCAGAGATGCAATTGTGGGCTGCAGCACAGTCCCCTTGTTATGCTTGTAAAAGAATTTAAAACACAGTTATGTCACTTTGCCTATTAAAGTCCAATTTAATTCCTCCCCATCTGCATCCTAGTTGACAGGTAGTAAGCTGAAAATATATCCCATCATACAGAGAAGACAGCTGATCTACTAAGTATCATTTACAGTGGGATGAAGCAACATGTGTCAGGCAAAGAAAGTGGCATAATCTTCTAGAGAAACAAGTGGAAGTGGCATTACAGGAGATGCCAAGGGTCTTCTCCTTCTTGAACTGAGAAATGCATCATCCCTAAGACCCTTAAAGAGACTTCTGGCTCTGAAGATGTGGGCACAAGCCATTCAACCATTTCATCCATTCTAGAGACCGAAGCCTATATTTCTGCACTCAAAAGCCTGCCACAAAAACACTCCTTTTGTTGGCTCCTCAGCTCCGTATTGTCCAAATGTGACAGAATATGAACCTGTAAAATATCTGTCATAATCATGGGCATCTTTTCAAATGCAGACAGTAAAACCAGCATGCTGGCATGGCAGTACGTAGAAATATCTGGAAACTGGGCTGCTATGTCCTTTTCAAGGCTACACAGAGAACAAAGAACATGGGAAAAGGGAGTTATACACTTAATTAAGAGGCTGATTACACAGCTCCACAAAGAGGATGACATAAGTAAAAATTGATCCACTGCTCCAGAGGGCTTAAGCCACACTCGTAAAGACTGAAACACAGGGGAGTGAGTCCAATGAAGGGCCACAAAGATGATTAAGGGATTGGAGGATCTGACACAGAAGGAGAGGCTGAGGGAACTGGGATTATCTAGCATGGAGAGAAGGCTCAGAGTGAAGGAAGTCTTATCAATATGTATAAACTCCAGACATTTAAAGATGTACTTTGATCACTATCACTGGGATACTGATTTCTTAGTACAGGCTTCCTAAACTACCCAAGGGAGATGAGTATCTTTCCCACTTCACCCTGCCCCACATGTAATGCTCCCGCTTGCTGGAAAGCTGCCACTGGCACAACTGCAATTATTACAAGAAGGCGCTGGAAATGGGCTCCACCCGGTGTGCCAAGATAGAGCAAACAGAGGCAGTGAAAAACTGCAGATTAAAATTCTGCCTCACAGCCCAGACATTTCACGTCCTATTTCTGTGCATCTCAACATATACACCGACACCTGCAACCGTAGGTTAAACAAATTAAATCTCAGAAAGGATGTTCAAGCTCAAAGCAAATATTTGAGCATAGAGGAATTTATGCCACCCACTTGAGCAAGTACTAAATGCCAGCAAGAACAATACATCTTCTGAGAACTCAAAATGCCTGTGGTGAGAGTGAGCTTGATAACTCCATCTAACTAGCTGTACGATTATCAACACAATTGTCGCAAAGAGTAATTATGTATTTTGCTGAAACATTCTTCAAAATCCACCCTTAATTACAGAGGATCGATTTTTACTGGAATCTGTAATTTCTTCTAAATTGAAACCAATCCCTACATACAGTGAAAGGGCAAATGGAGAAACTCCTTTTTGCTAAGCGTAAGTTCCACTTCTACCTTATCAGCTACAATTTTCTTCTCTATAGAGTAAGAGCCAGATGACTTTGCAACAGGCTCTGAAATCTTAGTCTGCAAATGAGGACAAGACAGCAGCTATTACTATTACACTAGCATAATACAACCAATGACATTAATAGCCATATTATCTCATCTCTTCTAGCATCAGATTAACCTGTTTAACAACAGATTTCCTAACTCCTTTCCTCTTAGCTACCTTTCAAGAACAGTCTGGAAGTAACCACTGTGTAATCGATTGGTTTTGTTTTCAAGTGTGTTCCCTTTTTAGACCCAGACAAGAAAAAGCAAGCACTGATCAAAAGCCCACAATCCAGACAAACATATTCAGAAGTCATCCCATCTGCTGGATGGGAAGAGAAGGAAAAAGATTAAGTTCTTGGAGGAAGTAACAGTTATAAGGATATTCCAGGGTTAGAGACCGGACTTTATATTGCTCTAGGATCCTAACTTTTATTCTGGTCTAGATTTTGGAGCTGAGCAATAGTTTTCCATAAGATACTGCTGTGCAGCTGGATCAAACTTTCTGTCTGCCCACGATGGTCAATGAGAAGGCATTTCAGGGCTTCACTTAGGAAGAATGAAGAGAGTGGATAGCAAACACAAGTCATGTCTATATGAAAGAAACTGCCACTGCATTTAGACAGAGGAGAGAGCCCTTAACCACTACCACTTTCTCAGTTTTCAGACTTATCTCAAGAGTCACATAGGCACCCTCATACTGCAAGCTGTATCCCTGAGAGGCTAGCAGGCTTGATGATGGACAGAGTTCAAACTGACCAGTTGTTTTCTCTAGTCCACCTGTATTTGTAGGCAGACAAGAGTTATCTGGATGAAACTTCTGTACTGCCTGCAGATTGTGAAACCCAACTTATTGTGCTATCCTAGTCCAGCTGAACAAATGCAGAGCTGACCGTCATCAATGTAGTAACTGGCACAGCTAGACCAACAACACAGTGGACTCTGATTATTTATGGTGGACCACACAATCATTATGTCTAGTTAAGGACATTGGACACCTGACAGATTCACGGGCATCAGTGTGGGCACTTTGATCAGTCCAAGCAAATAATATGGAAACTAAATCTAAGAGTCAAAATTGGCAAAGGAGGTCACTCCAAATTCCACAGCTGCCTTTCTATAACCCTCTCAGTCACAGGTATCTGCTACCACTATTGCTGTCAGTGGATGGGCTCAGAATGAGTTGCCTTGCATTCATGAGATGGATGAAGTTTGAATTCCAGGATTAAAGCAACTACTGTTCCTCTGGAAGTGCATTAGAACAATCTACCAACTTGTTCGAATCATCACCAAGCAAAACTCACCTAAAGCCAAAGAACAGATTGACACCATTCCACTTGTTCACACTAATTTGCTGCTACAGTATTTCCCTTATAGAGAAATGCTTGTTCTTCTATCTTAACAGCAAAATCCTACAACACAGAAGGCTGTCTTGGAATCAAAGGACTCTATTTATGCATAACACATTAAAATTCACCTGTTAAAATTCGATGCAATGGCAAAGTGATGTAAGTTAAGTGTGCATAGAGTAGAAAGTTTTCATCTGTTCTGTTCAGCTTCAGCCACGAGCCCACCAGAGACCGTCCCGTTCCAGATAATGACCGCGACCTCAGATTTGTCGCATTGTGCAGATCTGTAAAGGCAGAAGACAGGAAGCTTAAACTGATTGTACTTTCTGTATTTTATTGGAAGACCCAATGAAAGCTTCTGAAAGTCAAAAAAAGAAAAGCCTACTATTCACTCTCTAGAGAGAAATCACATGTACGTCACTATTACTACTATTTTTACTTTTTAAAAAATCTGTCAGATCTTGCCCAGCACAGAATTCACCATTTAGATTGAAGCTAATGAATTATAGCAGCAGCTGGCCACAGTAGTAAGCCATTAGCCACTAACAGAGCAGCCAGGAGAGGGAATGAAGCCTTTGCTACCACACTGAACAGGCAGAATCCTAACCCAGCCTTCTCTCATATACAAAATAATACAATATCCCTACAATTAAGCAGTTACTCATGCAGAAATTCACAAGTGTAACAGAAGGAAAATTAGGGATACTCAGCATTAACAAAGCCAGCTTACTGCATCCCCCAAGCCAAACCTGGGACTCTTCAGCAGTGCCATTCTTCCCATAATTAGTTTAGAGGCCCACAAATAACTTTTAAAACAAAAGGATGGTGAATCCACTGTATGCTAGAAGCAGTTTTTATAGCTTCAGGTCTCTCCTACAGACAGGAATGCACATGCCACATATTTCGAGTGCTTCTAAACTTTCCCTCTATTCCCCTGTAAAACTCAGCCCACAGTGCTAAAAGCAGATGTTGAAGTGAACACAACAATTCCGATCCAGAGTATTCAAGCTCTATCACTCATTTGTTTAAAAGTGGGTCCTGATCCACACAGAGAGGCCCTAGCAAAGGAGAAATGCATAGTGGCGGCTACTGTAGCAAGATGCATAATGACATGAGTGGAAAAAAAAAAAACCAAAATATCTGTATCTTGTTTTCCCTCCTTCCCTGTAAATGTGAATAGTCAAGCAGCCTATTCCTTCTTCCCAGACATTACCACTACGCCAAGAGCACTGTCGTGATCAGGTCAGAAGGACCCGACTCTGGTAGCTGGAATAAGTACAATTTTTTTTCTGTGTCACCCTTGCACACAGCAACAGCAAGTGAAGTGGGCCCTGTGGGCTGTTCCTGTCCACAACAGGTCTGTCTGCACAGGGGGCAGCTCTGCAGAAGCACTGGCCAGACCAAGGACACTACTGATCTTTGGACAAACAAGTTATCCTCCTCCACCCATGAGGCCAAGATGCCCCAGAATATCTCTGCTTCTACAAAACCCCATCACTAGGTAAACTGAAGTCCGCTTTCCCATTGTGAAACAAGAACTTCGCCACCACAGAGCAAACACTGGTAGCATACTCAGGTTTCTAAAATTTGTAAAGAAATCTCACTTTTTAGTCACTTCTCCTTGTAGAAAACTCATCTTTGAACAAATTAAACTTACTAGCATAAGCTGCTAAAATATTCCTCTATTTATTTTTAGGACTAGGAACCGTAAGGTCAGAACAGTTATAACTGAGACCACACTTCTTGGTATTTTATATGTGTGTTATAAAATGCCTGGAAAACCTGGAATTTGTTTACTTACATAAATACATTAGAAGGAAAAGAAAATGAAAATAATAAGAATGTTCATCATTACATTTATCATTATTAAGTACACTAAGATCAGAATGTGCAAAACAATACTGAGCAGACACTGGCACTACCTACACTGGCTGATGGATAAATGCCTTGAACTCCATTCTGTCCTGTGCAACATCCAACAGAAAAATAAGAAAAGCAGGACTCTACCCGGGAAAGCTGCCCTTCTCTCCACACGACATAGTAATTGACCAAAGGCCTACCCTTTGCCTAGTAAAACATGCTAAAAACATCTTATTTGGAAAAAACAGACATTTTCACTAGGCAAACTAAGGAAAGAGAGATGAGGAAAGGTTTCCATTGACAGAACCCTGAATTAGTTACAACTAGTTTAAGTTGCACAGAATTTGAACGAAACATTATCACCTAAGTTTGTTTTCTAAGGTGCAATTCTTTATTAGCTAAGCTGGTCCAGTACCACTGATGGGTAATGCCTTTGCTACTACAAACAGAACCTGTGATCTGGAAATTACCTTTGTGTTTATCTGTTAGCCAACAGATAGTTAGATTTTTTGGCTTTTCTAATGAATTGTTTCTAAACATATGACAAGTAGTTTTGACTTTGACATTTGTGAGTTTCCTGCCTAACAAAACTGCAATATGGTTTGATTTATACACTATATTCTGAATCAGACTCAATTTTTTATCTTGTTGCTTGTTTCATACTGAGTAACTAGCATTCAAAGGAAGAGTTCCACAAGGCATTAAACCATTATGTAAACAAATTAATTAGGTTTTCTTCTTAGAGAGTTCAGAACTGATCCAAAGCCAGCTGAAGTAAATGCCTTTTCAACAACTTTAACCAATTCTGGATCAAATCAGGGAATTCAGATAACTTGTCCATGAGAGCACACCCTAGCCCACCTAAGAGCATAATATCTGGGAAAGGGCAGGGATCTTCCCTGCTCAAGTTTCCCTCAAATGGGTCTATATAAAAGGAGGAGATAAGTTTTAAACATATGCAGGAATTGTTGGTCTTCAGCCTTCAAAAAGACACTAAGCCTGCGAACAACCCCATTTTCAGAGTGGCACTGGACTTTCTGTGGAGCTAAGTTTTTCACACTGCAAACCTTTTGGAAAATCCAGCATTGGGATCCCTTTTCATAGCTCTGTGCCCTCTCCAGACAAGTCTGTTTAGCTGATATTACTTCTCTCACCTCCACCGTCGTCATCTCTGAAGAACTCCTCACTGTCATTTGCTGAGTGGGATTTTTTCATCTCAGCAATTCGATTTCGGGGCACTTTTCTCTTGAGGGATGGGGAGAAAAAGGATGGGCGATTGTTGCGTTCTGGGGTTGGTGGTGTGCTGAAAGATGTGACCTGAAAGGGAAACAGAAGAAATGCTAGAGAAAGCTTTGTTTAAAAAGTTCTATTCTTCTAGAATCAGTCTCAAATGTGTGCCACAAGGCAGTCACGTGCAAAAATCAGAATCATGACTGGTGTCTAGCTGTAAGTTTTGTCAGAGTAGCCAGAGAATGTCAACTGAACAGTCATTTCAGCTTCAAGATGCTCATCAAGATGAAAATATTTTGATATATCATCACCCTCAATTGTTAAGTGAATAATGAAAAAAACTCCTCAGCTGATCACTTTTAACAAGGATTCATAGTCATAAGGATCAAAATTAATAATTTAGGCACCAAGAATGTCTAATCTTATTTTTGCATGTTGAAATTCAGAATACTTAATATGCTAAGAATATGTGTATTGGACAGACTAAAAATTTGCATCTTTTTTTTTTTTTGCAAACACAAGGCAGTAGTTTCCCTGCTTAGAAGAACGCCACATGGGATCACTGTGAAAGGTCACAGTGTCTTTGTGAAGCAGGGTCACAAGGCAATTACTTAGCCCAAGATGCTGACGCAAAAGTGAAGTCAATGTACAATTATGTGTATATCATATTTCAATACAGGATTGAGAAAAACAAGTTGAGATGCCCCTGATTATTTGGTTTGTCTAAGCGATGATAACTACAAGGATATAATTGTCTATGGCGAAACACAGGTTAGGGATGAAACTATAAAGACACCCTTCTTTCAGAGCAGTAGTTGCTCTTGAGTAAACCACAATTATAGTCAACCATACCTTTTTCAGAAATAATTGAAATGCAGTGCTTATGCACTGGTTTTGATAGTAATATTTTAATAGTTTCATTCAAAATTTAAAAAAAGGGATAACTACTTTGCTAATGGAGGTAACTTCTATCTCATCCTTCCTTCTTCACACAGTTAATTTAACAATCCCATAACTCTCCCTGAGATGACACCTGATATTGCTCACATCTGTCAATACAAACAAAGGAGGGAGGTGATATGTGAGTGAGGATGACAGTCAAGCCAGGTTGGTGTTGCACTGCAGAAACACTCTGTGTCATCCCTCTATCATTAACACTACAAAAAAAAAAGTAGAGGCACCCAACTAATCCTCTCTTTAGTGCATTTGAGCTCTGATTTGTGCTTGTCTCTATTTTTAATCCTGTAGCCATTTCATATCACACCTGGAGGGAAAAACAGAAACAGACAAATCACCATTAAAACTATTAGCAAAAAGCAATCATCATGTACTATCAAATCTATTTTGACACCTTCCAGTTGACACTCAAAGTCCTGGAGCCAAAAGATCAGGAAGTCCCTCCAGGCCATATCTCTACGGCAAGCACATACAGTTAACAAGCTCTATGCTGGCAGCTCATTTTGCCTTTTAGGAAGCCAGAAACTAAAATCACACATCTTGCATGAAGATGTTCAGAAGCAGTCCTTCAGACCTTTAAGCTACAGAGGTTAGCTATGTTACACAGGAAACCAGACTAGAATCCATCAGGAACTACCCAGCCCAGGTCAGGACACATCTGTGAAGGTATTTTGAAGACATGTTGCCTAATCCCCCTTAACTAGGTAAAATGCTTTAACGGAAAACAAGGCTCAGGACTGAATAAGGGCCAAGTCAGCATCTATGGACTGATTCTATTGGTATTTTACTGCACTTGCATTAAAATTAAGCATATGCATAAATATGGTACTGCATCTAGATCCACAATCTTTGCTTTAACATTATACAGGCTTCACATGGACAGCATTCATCAGTGGCAAAATCCCCCAACAGTACCATTTCCTATGAGGTTTAGCAAGCAACCTACATAATATACAAATTCCACATTTCTAGGTAAATCCTATCTTGTACAGAAATGGAATCTATTAATTTTCATAGAAAACAGGCAGAATCATCATCTTCCCTGGAATCAACATTGCTGTTGTTTCAACAAAACACTCCTCCAGAAGTATGAGTCATCCAGTCATCTCTGTATTCAGTATTTCCTCAAGGGAAACTGTGCTAAAAATCCATCTGCATATACTGAATATGTTAAAAATATACACAGGCAAACCTAAGTTCAGAACCTTGATGTGAGTTAATCCCAGCTTCAGTCCGCCTACTGGCTTTGGAACAAAACATGTTAATACTTAACCTTAAATCAGTATTTCTGCCTGCTACTTACTCTCTCATGCACTGGGGATTCTGGATTTGAATCTTCTTCTGTCCCATACGGTGAAGTGTCACCAGTAGAAACTCTACTCACTGCCATCTCTGCATGTCCTTTCCCTTGTGGCCCTTTCATTCGGACAAACTCCATGTTGTTGTATTTATAAAAGCCAAAAGACATTCTTTGAGCCATCTTAGCTGCAACGCTCACCTACAATGCATCAAGACAGGAGAGAAAACCATGCAATAAAATCTCCATGTTTCAAAAAAATAACTTTCTCTGAAAGCAGTTATCTAAGTCAAAACCATAGGGGATAATGATCATTATCTTGATTCTTAAGAAGCACTTTAAGCTGGAAGGGCTTCCAAAAGGGAAGCAATTTTACAGATACAAAACCAAAGGCTCAGAGAAGAATCAACTCCTTCAGCTATCCAAAAGGCAGAGTTACCCAATGGCACGTTGAGATAAACCAAAAGGTTTTTATCCAGACGCACACAACGTGGCACACCAGAGCACAAGCAGGCACGTGCACAACACAGCCTGTGCAGGGACACTCGTTTAAGTCCAAAAAGCAATAGACACACACACACGAGATGCTTCAGACTAGCAAAGTGTACTGCACAATTCTGGCACTACTTTGTGGCAAGTCAATTCAGACATCTGTGTGTCCACACTGTCGAGGCCAAAGCATAAAGAACCAGTCCCCATGCACAACTAACCTGCATTGCATTGCTCACCGCAAAACCTTGACAGCTTTTGAACCCTCTCAACAGACAGAAGGGCTCAATTTCCAGTTAACACAACTGAACTGAAAACTGAACTGAGAACTGAAAAAAAGGAACAGACCAATATGAAACCTGTCAAGGTTTTGCCAAGGGAAATAAGAAGGACTTATCCGTAAGTTTAAGTGGTTTATCGCAACTTTCAGCAGTTTATCGCCTGAAAGGGCCAAGATGCTCATCATGTAACACAACTCATAATTGTGCTAAGAATTAATACAGACACAACTGAAATCAAGTAGCCTTCAAAAGCATAGAGAGATTGCTTCTGTTCTGTTATAAGAATGATAAAATTTCAAGTTTTGCCTTTGTCCATAAATGAATATTTGAAGAGCTAACAATTTTATTTCATCTAACAAAACAATGTAAGTAGCTGTGTGGTCAAACAGGACATTCCTAGGCTATGAAGTGACTTTACCACATCAAATCTTGTCTTTCCACTGCAGGGCTTCCTTCTTATGTTGTCTTTAGTGATTCTGTATTCCCATGTGTTTTAATAAGCCACCAGCTGATTGCGTGAGGCCGTAAGATGATGGTGGGACAGAGAAGCAATTTCAGTTTCATGTTCTCTTGAAAAACTGCTAGAAGAGTATAACTACTCACATTCAAAACAGGGAGAAGGGAAATTATTCATGACCTCTCCTGACAAGGGTAGGAACAAAGGGAAATGAATTTTACAGTCACAGCAGATACTGTGGGGATTTTTTTCTTTGTTTTTTAAAAATCTCTCAGGACTGTCTTTATAACAAACTGTTTGAGAATGTTATTGGCTCTCACACTCTCTTGACTTCAGCACTAAGTACTGAATTTGAAGTGGAAAGTCCTGGCATTTCTTATTTCTGTGGAAAAGCAAAGAAAGTGTCTTTCTGTGACAGTGAAACTACAGTAGTCTTTTGAAAACAGCCATTAGTACAAAACATACTAAAGAAAAACAGATTTTACATATAGCAAAGTAGTTACCAGAGTTTAAAATCTCCATGCAAAACATGCCTTCTCTGAAGTAACTAGAAGCATCTATGACCTTTCAAAGAAAACAGACTACCAGAACTCTGTTACTCAGATTCATTCCCACGTCACATCCTTAACAACTTATCAACTTTACTCCTTTTGGCAAACACCAGAGTAATATATCCTGATCTGAATGTGCTCAGCTGTCCAAGCCAAAAGCATTAGCTTTCAGGTAACTTTCAAAGCCAAAAAAGACAGGCTACAATGCAGATGATCTAACAGGACAAAAAGCTAACAGCCTCAGCAGCAAAGAAAAACTGTGGTCAGAGTATCATTGTGGCAAAGGATGTTGTCTTTCAGAAGCACCTTACCCTGTTGTCATAGACCTTCTTGAGTGCTTCATAGCGGATGGACCCCTGAAAAATGACCCCTTGGAAGGTGTTGCTTTTGTCACTGGCCACCAGCTCCACACAGACCATTTCTCCTTCTCCCACAGTCATGTCACTGAAAACCTGCCAGAGATGCAAGATGAAACACTTCAAGTCAAACTGCAGCTGTTAAAGTTCAAATATATACAGATTCCCATGATTCCTTTTAGGCTCAAGGCAGTTTCAATGTAAATGGCAGAAAGCAAGGGAGCCATATGCTCCACCCCAGCCTTTCAACAGAGCAGACTTCAGGCAGTGCGCACTGTAAATCATGTGTTGAGATAAGCAGCTCTCACAACAGCCTGTCTTGCTTTAGGTCATCAGGAAGACAGATGCTAAAATCCAGCTTTAAGCTCAGATTTCAAACATTAAAGAGAAAGGTCAAATAAAATAAGATAAAGATTATCGAAGATAACCCTCAATTAGCCAAGAATATTTGTTCAAAAGGTTCAAGAAAACAGCTAAGCAGGACATAACACTAGGATAGAACAAAACTCTGCTGCTGCTGCAACAAGGAACTCACCTCTTCAAAACTGTCAATCATGAAGAAAATGTTGGGGTAGCTGATCTTTGACTCCTCTCCTTTACTGTCCATCGGGTGTTTGCTAGGAGACGCAAACACTTGCTGAGAAAGATACAGGAAAAAAAAACAACAACCATCTTCTCAGTTTAATGCACTCAGGAATGGGTGCACCGAATTCAAGGCAGGCAATATCAAAACACCACAGTCAGCCACCATTTTCACTTACCCAAGAGATGCTGGACATCTTGCAGGCAAAGCTGAGCTGGTTTCTGACTATAGCCTGTTTTGCAATAGTGACAACACTTGTGAAATCATTGAGTTTTCACATGCAAGTTATCAAATACTAGCTGCCCTACAGTAAATGTCCCTGTGTATGTACCTGACCTCTCACCATCCTACGGTGTCCTCCTTTTCATTAACAGAGAAAACCACTTTGAGCTGCCTTTAAGTTACTGCAATACGCTGCAAAGTAAAAGCACACACAGCAAGAACATTACTGTGAAGTAGCTGACCTAACACTATTTGCTTGTACAGTTAATTTCATTGTTATTGTTTGCCTAGTACTACCATAAGATCAACATCTCTCAGTAATGGGAAGCATGGCCCTCAGGAGGACAAGTACTTGATTTTTCATCCTCATCTTCTGCTTCTCTTTCTTTCTCTATCCACTGTGCTTCCTCTTGCACATTCCTCCCTCTGATACAGTTCCTGAACTCCTTTGGTCACTTCACTCCTCAAAACAAACTATGTTTAAATAGCTAAAGGCTTTAGATTTTATCATTCCAACAAGGTAAAGCAGGTAAAGGGGAAGAAGAGTTCATACCAAGTAACTTTATTTGCTTCCACCTCTGTTTACAAACAAAGATTTGAATTAAAGAAACCTGTCAAATATTAGCCCACTGTGAATGCGTTGAAAGCTCTGAATCTTCCCAGACTGTCAGGCTTGTGATACCCTTGCTACAAACCATTCAACACAAAATATGACCAAGGGTAGGATGTTAGATATTCAGGAGAGGGTTGCTTTTCCTTATCTGTACTTATGAAGCCTACATACACATTTAAATACAGATTATTAAAAAGAAAGGTTGCTTCATAACAAGACACAGCATTAGAAAGTTAACAGGACTCCCCAAAGATGACACCTGCACCAACGCCTGAAACAAAGACATCTTCCAGGCACCCTTGTCCTCATGCCATCCAATGTAAAGCAAAAACAACCCCCAAACTCATCTCCAGTCAGACACACCTGAGGAAAATACAGTTTGTAGAGATCTTATTGTCAAGCCAGGAGAGAATCAATGTAGTCTGCAGAATAATTTAGCAGAAAGTCAGCTTTTTTACACTGGTTTCATGCCTTAGGTACTCTACTGGTATGAACACAGAAGCTTTGTCATAGGTTTGGAACAGCACAGCAAGTCCTATGCCTGAATAGGGCTTCCACCTATTCAATATCTGGCTGCACACCGAAATGACAAACATACGCTTTCTACAGCAAGAACCATCAGAGCAGTAATACAGATCCCAAAAAGTTGGCTTTTGTTCATTTAGAACTCAGAGCCCCAATGGTTCATGTTACAATCAAATGCCCTACTGCAAACATGCTTTCCACAGTATATAGAACTGCCGTTTCTCTCTCCATAGCTCAACTCCATGATGTTGAAATGTTACTAGTATGTACTGGTAAGTTTTAATGTGTGCTGAGTTTCTCCTAGAAAAAGGGAGACAAAAATTTATAAGCAGTCCCACAGTACTAGCCTCTAGGAATGAGGAACAGAAAACCTCCTCCCTATTCTGAACACTGCTCACACACAGTGACAGCAGGTCCCTCATCCTCCTCATCCTAGTTTTCAAATCTGCAAGTAATATTTACAGATTTTTCCCAAAAGAATTCTGTAGTTGTTAATTGGGGGTGAAGTTTGGACTAGTAAACAGTGGAAAAAGCAATAAGAAATAAAAGGCTTACATCAGTGGTGTAATGTGGTGTCTCAACAGCACCAGAAGAAGGGAATTATGCGCTTAACTAATGCAAATTACAAATACAATAATCAGTGTCGCTACTTTTCTTTGTAGGCAAAGCAACAATTGTTTTAAAATGGTAAAACAAAATTAAAGAATTGAAGAGCACTGGTTTATTTTAGGTAATACCATGCAAGCAGCTGAATGAGCTAAAGGAATGGAAATACCTGGGAGAAACAGCCTTTTAAAGGCAAAAGGAGCCTTTTAAAGAAGAATTTCTGCCAACTAGGAGAAATAGTTGCAAGATCTGCTGAAAATTGGGTGAAGAAGCCTGGGGTTTCTTGTTTCTATCCCCTCTGTGCTTATTCAGTTTCCTCCACTATGCTAAACCCTGGCTTAACTGTATGCTGCACACAAGGACGTAACAAAAGCCTTCAGTGTGGAGACGGAAGGAATGAGCAGTTTAAGAGAGAAAATAAGAATATCATAAAACAACAAAAAGATAAATTGGTAATCAGTAAATTGTCTACCATTTAATAGCCCTCCATTACAGATTTACCCTGAAGGCTTCTCGTAACTCAGGTCTCATACAATTTCATGTTTACCCTCAGAATGGTTAACAGTTGGGCATACTCCCCATCCAGGACCCCCCTCCCCCCAAAAAATCCAGTAGGCAAAGATATAAATCTTGAAAGCATGTCTTTAGAGTTTTTTTGAGAGGGTCTATAAAGGACACTTAGATCTCTCCTTTAGATGACTGGCAGGAAATGCCACTAGACAAAGACTTGAGATGCTTCACAAGGATGCATCTGTCAGAACACAGCCTGAGAACCATTGCCATGGTTTTGACAGAGTTTTTAGGATTAGGTAATACTGGATGCCAACATCTTATCCACAGTAACAGCAGGGTAATCTCACCTGAGATTTCTTTTTGTGAATGTGAATATCTCCTCCATCGGAGCGTGTGCACACAGCACATGTCACCACATAATCCAGCTAAAACAGGGCATCAGAAAGAGGAAATAAAGGTTTAGAGTTAGAAAAACAAAACATTCATGTGCATGACACAGAACACATTCTGTCTTAGTTTTTTTAGCTGTCTGGCTAAAAAGTAAGATGCTTTGGTATTGCTGTTTTCTTTATTCTATTTGCTACCTTTTTGAAAAGGGAAAAATAGAAATGCTAATGAACAGAAGCAACACATTAGAGAGTTCAGAAACCATTAATGTAGCCTGCCAAGTAATCTGAAAAAACTTGTAAGGAGCAAGCATGATAGCAATGCCCAGCTGTAACAGCATCTCTGAGTTCTGACTGTAGCAAATGGATTCTGGTTTTATCCAGCATTAAATAAAGGCGGAAACTGCTCTCTGCAGAGAAGTTCTGCAACGAGACTTTCGGGAGGAAGGAGAATGAAAACAATTTATTTTGCAGGACATGTGCAATGAGCCAGCAGTCTCTCATCCCAAGATCATAATCAACAAAACTTTTAAGGGATTTCAAATGACTATAGTAATGTTCAGCTTCCCTAAGCACCAATGTAACATACACAATAACTAAACAACCTAGGAGTTAATTAAAGAAATAATTTGTGCTAGCTTCATGTTTCCACCAACATAAAAAAAAAAGTTTTATTAAAGTTCTGATGTCAAGAACAGCAAACTCCCAGTGTAACACATAACACCTTTACCGCATTTCCACTTAGCAGTTCCCTCTTTTAGCTGCACCAGTATTGTGAGCTCTAATGGAACTCTTGCTTGTCTAACAGTCTCATTCACTCTCAAAAACTATTAAACTTGACAAAGCCTTCCATTTTGCAAAACTTTGTTACAGAGTATAAAATTCAACCCAGCTCTACTGGATAAAGTCTTCTGAGGAAAGCTATAGGACTCTACTGAGAAAGAATAAACATCTCAGTTTATGTTAATTTAGACTCTGAAAGGCCAAATTAAAGCCATGTTTTCTTTATAGCCTCCAGAAGTCTTCAAATCCCCCAAGCTAGGGAGGAAAGGGAACAGATCAAAGCCTACCCTGGAACCTCTCTATCATAAATAGCCCATGAAAATTATATAAGCATCACTGTTACCTTCTGCAGGATGAGGTTCAAATAGACGCTCTCTTCCCAGTCAATGTCGGGGTCTCCCAGGCCAGGAAGCTTCTTAGAATCTCTCCGGTAAACTTCAACTTCAACCTGCTAAGAAAATATGACATCTCCTTGAAAAATATTACTTAAAGGTACCTATAGGCAAACCTAAAATTGACACCAGAAGCTGCGTGTTGCATAGCTTCCTGCTATAGTTTTCTGCCAGGATGGGATTTTGCTGACCATGCAAGGTCAGCCCTCATGGAAGGCTTTGTGTGAAGATGGAGGGACCGGAGATGTGAAGGAGAACAGGTGAGAAAGGCAGGTCTGTGCAGATGAATCTTGGTTTTGGACAGCAGCTTCGTTAATTGAAATTAATAAAATAATGATTTTTTTTTTATTGGCAATATAATCACACAAACTAATGAGAGTTACTGTAAAAAACTAAGACATGAACAGCTGAGGGAAATAATCTAATTCAAATTCCTCTCCAAATAAACAAAGGTGGTATTTGCACTTTCATGCCTAAAAGCACATCACATTTGCAAGATTCCGAAAATACCCTGTGCAACAAAAGCTGCCCTGTCTCTGAAGGAAAGATGCAGCAAGAGGACAGGGTGAAGGCAGGACTGAGTAACTGCAGGGTAAAACTGACAGCTCCAACTAATGCCAGAGTAAGAGAGCTCAAGTGCTCAGCAGACATCACCTCAGTCTCTTTTGCCTCCATATCCACAGAGCCTTTACTTTAATCCAGCCAGAGTTTAATGGTCTCTTAACAATAAAGTTTAAACCTCCCTTTGCAGAAGCTGGCCACTTACGTTTTCTGCTGGTGAAATTCAGTTCACACTGAACTACTTCTCACCAGCAACTACAAAGCCATTGCACAACACCTCTTTCACAGAACACTCCCCCCACTCTATCACAGATAATGATAAAAAAGGGCCTCTCTTTAATCATTTTTTCCCTAACCACTAATTTAGGGTAGGATTCCCAGGCGGTACAAGTGCACCATCAGTGCATAGTGGATCCCCATGAACTACTGCCATGGCTGTTCCCTTAGCCACGTGCTTAAGCCACAAGGTATGATAAAAGAAATTATTTTAGGGAATTCAGTTTTTTTGCCAGGCAATAAAGTGCACGGGGTACAGTTCTCTGTTCAACAGGTCAAACCCAGCAGGACAAGGCGACCTCTTTCCAGAGAGAAAGGAACCATCAGCAGCCAGAAGCGACAGAGGCAGGCAGGACTCCTCTGAACCCAGAGAAACAGAAAATGGGACTTCCAAATGTTCTCCATGGCGCTGGCATCTGCTGGACATGTTTTGCAGCTCCTGCTCATGCCCAGGTAAGCATCCTCAGTGAGCGTCAGGGGAATAAACCATCCCTACCCAGCACTAGGGCAATAGTTACACCAAGAAGCCAGTGTTTGCTTCAGCAGCCAGTTGTTTTGGATGCCTTACTTCCCACACTACCAAAGCATCTGCTTTATAAAAGTGCCTCGCCAGGGCACTATAACAAGCAGCACGACCGCTCCTCATCTGACTCATAATACACTTCACAGTGTAAGCACTCAAATTACGAGTTACTTTTGAAAAAAATCTCACCCTTATCTCATGAAGACATCTATCTGCAACACCCCTTTTACTCATTTCTAAACAATTCTTCCAGAAATAGCATCCATAAGGCATCTTGGCATAAAGCAAAGTGCTAAATTTGGGTGGCCAAAACAAACAGCACTTTCCAGGGGCTCCATTTCCCTGCAAGTGCTGTAGCTCACAAATCAATCTCAGCTACCGTCTACTGCCATGGTGAAGGTGGCCATGTGATATTACGTGAAATAAATCAACAAGCTTGGTTCAACTCATAGCAAATGATCCCATTGTCACTGGCACACTGTGCAGCCTCAGGCATGGCCAAGGATGCAGGAAAGCCTGGGCATTACTTCATTCGGACCCTGCAGCCACCTATTCAGCATTAGCCAATAAAGGAGCCATCCAAATCAATCACTAAAAAACCAAAACAAAACCAAAACCAAAAAAACCACCTCATACAAGGAACTTTAAACACAATTTTCAACCATTTCATACAAGTCACGTCAATCACTATTGTTTAAAATCAGCAACCTAAACTCCTTGGCAGGCTGACCTAATTTGTCCACATCCCTAGGATGCAGGCTCAGCATCTGTATGCTTATCTTCCTTACGTCCCAAGAACATAAAATAAAAACCTGAATGTTTACAAGACCCATTACTCAGGTTCCTTATGTGCAAAAGAACTGAAGTGGTAAGATCACATAAACACTGTGAAGTAGCTACCTTTAACTGTCATGAAGGGATTTTCTTTATTTAACTCAAAATAAAAAAGACAGGGGATAAGTACTAACCTTTTATATTTAAGTGAATCATTTCAAGTAAATGTAGGCATTTGGGATTGACAGCACGGGAAACAGAAGACCAATGTGTTTGCTGTTCTGACCTCTAAGTGTTCGGACATCAATAAACAGAGTGCTGTCAAAATCTCAAGGAGTTCCCAGTAATAGAAACCATTATGTGAGTTTAGGTAAGTCAGTGTTGCCAGTGCTGAGCACAGCGCTTCTTAAATGAAGAGAAACACCTTCCCTACAAACGTGTTGCTTTATATTTACAGAGAAATCACATGGCAAATGTGAGACTAATTTTTTATGTATACATATAAAACAGTATATATAGAAGTATATATAAATTTTTTAAAATATAATTTCTTAGTACACCTCATACTTTTCATCAGAACACCAGTTTGTGATATTCTAGGCTTGATTAATGTTGTTAAGTTTGGCCTTCCAGAGTTAAGAAATGTTATGGACTAGAGAACATGCTGTATTTCAGACAGCTGAGTCCTCCCAAGAAAACAAGTCTGTCTCGGTCAGGGATCCAGGAGACACTGGATCTTTTTCCAGGTCTGCCGCTGATTCACTTGGCCATGCCTCACCTCTATGCTTGTTCATCTGGCTTTAAATTAGATGTGCCTTCCTGCAAGTGTGAAAATTTATTAATAGAAAGAACTATGTAAATGCTAATTATTTATTCCCAGTAAAATCCAAAAGTCAGTCTGGGTATTTCCTCATTCAAGTCAAGATGATGGCCCTTCTACAGTTTCAGCAAGCTGAAATCCATTCTGCCACCTTTATATATAAGTTTGCAGGAGGTTACTGAGCTAAGGCTGTAAAGGAGAATTACATCAGCTAGGACAACCTCCTACATGCCACAGACATTTTATCCTGTTAATTCTTCACAAAACCCAGTCAATCACATTTGACTAGACAGTGCCTGGGAAAATACCTTCTTTTGAGAACTCATTCCAAACATTAATCATCCTCTTGGCTGAAAGTGTGCAACTTCATTTAATTCAGCTGCTTTCCTTTTGTCAGCCTCTGGTTCTTGTCATGCTTATTTCCACTGTATTAAGAAGCTCTCTAATACCCAGTTTGGGGTTTGGTTTTTTTGTAGGTTTTTTGTTTGTGGGTTTTGGGGTTTGGTTTTTTTTTTTTTGGTCATTTATTAATCTTTCAGACAAACCAGACAGAATTCCTTTAGGAGATCTCATAGCAGGGCAGCTCTGCAGATCTTGTGCTCTTTTTGCATCCTTGGTATTTCACCAGTACTGGAGGTTTTCCAGTACCAGCACAGTGCTGGTGGACACGCTCTTGCTGCTCCCTCAGGACTGCACTTTTTCTGCACAGCAGCATGTTCTTATGCTAAATAAATTGTGCTCAGGGCCTTGCCTATCCTTTCCAGAGCCTGTGTGCACTCCTGGCAGTGAAGTATTGAATTACACTAACAAATGGATCCGTATTTCCCAGGGATCACACTGCGCAGTCCAATGGCCATGCCCTCATCACAATCTATGCACCACCAACGTGTGTCATCCACAAATCTGAATCCACTGAAATTTTATAATCCCAGTCACTGGTCCCTGCAGAACCCCCTTACAAACACCTCCAACCGATGTTGTTCCACCTCACCCCTGCTAGCCAGGACCCTCGCCGCCATTCTGCTTTTCCTCTGCTCGTTTATTTTCCACGCGTGGCAAACGTTGTGGCTACCTTCTGACACAGCTGTCACATACTAGTCAAACTATGGTCCATCTCTAGAACTTCATGGGCTTCTGTGCCGCAATGCCTGTGCCTAGTCTGGAGTGACACCAGAGGTCCTGGAGAGCCCCACAACTACTTCTGCCCGCAGCTGCTCCCACAAGGAGCACACGTCATTACAGGAACTGTTGGCAGGAGCTATCGTCCGCACAAAACCTAAGTGCAAAGGAGCAAAGCATCTATGAACACTAATGTATTTTATTCATAGAATTATGCCTTTTGGAAATGAATATATTGTGGACTATCTTCACGAAAGAAATCAAATCACACAAAATCTCAGATCTTGAACTGGAAGCCAATACAATGGATATGCTAGTTGTATAGTTATAGAGAGCTGGAACATTTTTAACATAAAAACCAAAGAAAACCATCTGAGATCCCAGTGAACAGCACTTTTTCCACCATGCCTACTTGTTCCCCAAAATTTCCCATAGATGATTTATCCTTTTGATTTATATTAATAAACATGGACACTAATAAATAATAAATAATTAAGAAACACAGGCCATTTAGCACCCCTTCTAAAAAAACCCCTTAATTCAGGAGAGAATTAATTCAATACAGTTCCCAAGGCATTACAGCTATTTGATGAAACCTGTGGGAATTTAAAATCTCCTTGTTTGCACATCTTAGCACATAAGCCTTTGAAAAACTCCTGAAAATAAACCTACAGTCAAAATCGATACAGGCTGTCAGCTGGGCAACACAGAAAGAATGAGGTAATAAGAACAGGGTTTACAAGAAACACTATTTTGTTGGCATTCAGAAGCCACCCAAAAAAAGGACACTCAGGTTTTCTATTAAAAAGAAGTCTAATGGGATTACAGGTCTATCTAGTAATAGCACCATTTTTCAGGATTTTTTTCAGACCACAGTCACTAAAAAAACAATAAAGGGAAGGGGGATGAACACGAAAAGGGGGAGGACAAAGACACAGTGAACAAAATTCAGGACTTTTTCCACAATACAAGTTCAGCGAGGAAAT